CCACCGAAGGATAAATTGGGGAAAAGGAGCCTTGAGGGAGAGGAAACCCAGAGGGGGGTGGGACCTGGGGTTTTTCCTCGGAGGGTCGACGTTCTCCGGGGGCGTCGGATGCGCTCGGAGAGACCTTTCCATGGACAGATTTCCAAGTGGGGAAACCCCGGGATCCGTCTGCTTCCAAACTTCCAAGTGGGAAAGGCTCCGGAGTGGTCTTGGAAGTGCTGAGGGGGTGGGGATGGACTCGTTGGGCTCAGAGGGATTTTCCCACATTGATGATTCCGTCATTCCGTGATTCCACACCTCCCACCATCCCAGGTGGTTCCAGCCTGGCCTTGGACACTCCCAGGGATGGGGCAGCCACGTTTTCTCTGGGAATTCCACCCCGGTCCCTCCCCACCGCCCCCGGTAGGAATTCCTTTCCTATATCCCACCTATCCCTGCCCTCTGGCAGTGGGAAACCATTCCCTGTGTCCTGTCAGGGACGGATGATCCGGGCCGGAGATCCCGGAGGGTGTTGGGAATGCGGAGGGGGTTGAGCTCCAGGGGCTGTGAAATTCCATCTGGGATAAACAGGAGCTGAAAATCTCCATTTTTGGAACTCCTCCGGAGCCCCCCGGGGGCGGATTCCCTGTGGATTCCCTGCTATTCCGGGAAATGTCACTGCTGGTCTCCTCGTCCTTCCCGGCGGATTCCTCACGGCGGCTCCCTGGGCTCCCTTCCCAGAATTCCCTCCTCCCGCTCGTGAACAAAGCTCCCCTCTCGCTCCGGTGGCATTTGGATCTTGGAAAAGAGGCTCTTTTTTGGGAGAGAAGCTCGGAGCGGCTCCCGGGAATCCGACTCTGTTCCCTTCCCGGATGGATCTGGTGGCCCTTGTGCTCCCTCCTGGTGTGTTCCCGAGGAGGTCGGTGGGCAGGAAGGTCCTTGTCCGAGCCCAGGACTCCTCAGGAACCCTTTCCCAAGCTCTTTTTGGTGTTTCCTCACCCTCCACATCCCACAAAATCCTTTCGCTTTGGATTCGGGGCCTCCCGAAATTTCCGGAGCTTTCCACCACCGACCGGGGGGATCCGTCGTCTCAACTCTGTCTCAGGGTCCTGCTTCTCCCAAAAAACCCGGCTGGAATGGGATGGGGAGGGGTGGGAAGGCTCCTTGCCTCCCTCTCCTCCCGATTCAGCCGCGGGAACGGGAACGGGGGAGGAATTTCCCCTTGGAATTCGGTGTGGAGGGCCCGGAGCTGGAAGCTCCGCCCGGAGACGAGGGGTTGGACCATCCCTGAGGGTTCCACCTTCTCCTTTGGGGATAAAAAAAATGAGGGAAATTTAAAAAAAAAAACAAAACAAAAACCACCCAAAGTTGGCTTTGGAGGGGTTTAATCCCTCGGGAATATTTTAGCGGGAGAACGGGAGGAGCTTTGTGGGATCCAAAGCTTCGACGTCACCGGGGATGGGTTGGAGGTTTGGAGTGTTCCCGTGGCTCTGGAATTCCCCCAACCAGGCCAAACCTGGTGTTGGATCCATGGGATGGTCCTTGGGATCCCACCGTTGGTGTTGGATCCATGCCCCATCCCGACCATTCCTGCCCCATCCCAACCATTCCTGCCCCATCCCGACCATTCCCAACCTGGATTTATCCCCAAAAACCAGTCGAGGGCTTCGAAAACTCGATCCAAACACCCAAATGTTTGGACGTTTCTCCCCCGGGATCCGTTTTATTGCCCGGATTTCCCCTCATTCCCGGCGTTTTTTACTGGGATCCAGAGGTCGAATTCCAAGGAGGACACCGGATTTCCGGGCGTGGAAAGACGGGACCGGGGGGTTGGAAGTGCGGAATAAGGGTCGGAGAGACCCACGGGAGGGTCGTGAGAGCCCCGAATCCCAGAAAATCCGTGAGAAACGAGCAGGGATTTAAAATCCCCGAGCCCCCCGGGGAGATTCCCACACTCCGGATTCCGTGGGAATTTCAGGGAGAGGAAGAGCGATCTCAGGGGTTTGGGATTTTATCCCGTTTTTTCCCGTGGCTCAATCCAGCTGTAAATTCGGATAAAACGGAGCTTTGTGCCGGGGTTTGGATTCCAGAGGCCGCATTTCCGTCCTGAGGAGAGTTTTCCAAGCTGGAAAATTCCGGCCGGATCATGGGCAGCTCCGGGCGGACTCTTCTGCTCCCTCTTTTTTTTCCCTGCGTTTTTTTCCGGGATTGATTCTCGCTGCCGGAGCAGCTCCCGGGCGCCGTTCCAGGGACAGGGAGTTTTTCCAAGGCCGGAATTCCCAGCGGGATGCGCCGGCTGTGCCGGCGGTGCCCAGCTGGGAGGGGAGGGGAAGGGGGGGGGCAGGATGAGCTTCATCCCTCCTTCCCCATCCCGGTTTAACCCTGGAAAAGGCGCCAAGCTCGGGGAAGGGGCCGGAATGTGGAGGGAGACGATTCCCGCGGTCGGGAGAGGAAGGTGAGGGAAAAAAATGGTGGGAATTGGGGTCGGAAAGAGGCTCCGGGGGTTCCGAATATCTTTTGCTTTTCCGGTGGCAGCAGATCCCGACGCATCCAAGACTTTGGAAAACGAGAGTTGGGTTAATCATTCCAATTCCAGTCTTTTTTTTTTTTTTTCCCGAAAACCCCCCACTTTAATCCCGGTTTTTAAACGGGAAGATCTTGGAATCCGTGGGATTTGGGGGGGGGGGGTTTTGGGGGGAATATTTTTGGGTTTTAAACCTGCTTTGGGAAGGAGTCATTCCCCGGAAAAACCTGGGAAATGCCGTGAAAATAACTGGGTTTAAACCTGGGATTTATTCCCTTGGTCCGGCCCCTCCACTCGGGAATATCAACATTCCCGATTTTCCTCG